ACCCACATTCAGTAGAGAAAAAAAAAAAAGCAGGATTAAAACACATATAGTCTTTAATACCCTTCTAAGGCTACGGCCAGGTTTGGAAGGGACTGGTACTTAAAGATAGGAAAGCAAATGGAAACAGGATTTAGCACAGATGCATTGGGTCAGTTTAATGTAATGATTTTTTTCTTCAATAATTAACTCAGACATGGTGACACAGAACATTTAGGCCATTTAGACCTAAATGAAAGGTTTAATTTGGTAGCCAATATGAACCAGTTTCTACTGATGGAAGCGATGGGGATGGAGACGGTGTAAAGTGGGAGAGGAAACGGCTAACCAGCTCAATGATGGGTTGTACTAAAAGGGGAAGCCCGCGAGTGAAGCGGTTCCTAGCACTATTCCCCCATCCCTGGTCTTGTGATGATCCTGCTCAGACTAGCAGAAAATGTTCAAGGCTGAGACCTGGGCACAGGGTCATCATGTCTGGGGTGCATTTTCAGGAGGGGCACAGCCTCGTGAGTAGCAAGAGAAGATCTTCAACTGAAGGATCACGTTGAGCATGCCCTTTGGGAGACACCCATTGAAGACTGTGCAAGAAAAGGACAGAACTAGTGACAAATACAGAGTGAAAACTGGATGGAGGCGTCCAAGGGGAGAGGTTTCAGGGTAAATTTCAAACAGGGCACAGAAGCAAGTAACGGCTACTGAGATTGTGCTGGGAAAGTGTAAAGAGGCTGAACAGGACCAGTCTTTGAGTTGGGAGCTGATACGTGCCCCTTGTGTCAAATACGTTGGTCTCTACAAGAAGGTTTGCAAGGAGGCGTTGAGCCAGGCCATATGTGCACCATATGCATGTGTGTGCTACGCTGCATTTTTTTGCTGGTAGCCTGCAGGGATCAGGGAGAAATGTCTCTCCTTTGCTATAAATTTTGGCAGATGAGTTGTCGGGGTGTTTGATCCTTTTCCTGCAACACTGGGGATTACTGCACTTGGAGACAGGGTGCTGTGTTTTCAGTTATATTCAAGTGCCTCAAGCACTGGTAGGTCTGAGGTTAAACTCATGACTAGATTTGGGCTGAGGGAAACTTTTGCACGGATGATGGACTACATCCTATCCTCATCTGAGGGTTTTAGCCCATTCTGCATGGAACAAAGTGATGCTCTCCAGCATCTGAAATAGAAGTCCACAGCTAAAGCGTTAAAGCAAGGAGGTATTGGAAAAAGAGGATGCTGTGGGAAAGGCGGATGCCACCTCTGAGGGCATCCCTCAGTATGAATAACCCTTGGATTTGCAAGTCTAATCACCACTGTGGTGGGACTCGAGCACAGATGGCCCAAGGTGGGGTGTGGAAACAGATTTTGGGCTTGATGCTGACCAAACTGCCTTACTTCCAGCAGGTAGGAGGCATCAGGCTGTGTGAAGGAATCAGAGAAACACATCCCCACTTCCAAAGGAGACAGGATGAAATCCCACCCTGGATCAGATTTTCATCCCTCCGGATTGGCTTCCTCCTGCAGGAATACGTTTTCCGGCCAGCAAAGTCCTGTGGAGGAGTGAGAGCAGCCAGGAACCTATGCTGAGCACAGCCCCGAGCCCTCAGCTGGACCACAACCAAGGGAGCAAGGGGCTTGGGGACCGCGCCAGCTCAGACCCAACCGCCATGCGAGTGCCTGTTCCCAGCAGCGTTAATCCAATTATGAAACAAACTTCCTTTCTTCATTACCAAGGCCTGCGGCACGCTAAAACAGCTTGGCAATTACGGGGGGCTTAGCAAGGGACTGGAGGAAAGGCTGTAAATGACAGAGCTGTTTCCCTTGCAGGGAGGGAGGACAGGGAACCGAGGCAGCTGTGAGGACACAGGAGGCTGCGACAGTGTCGAGCTGCTTGAAAATTACTACAGGAGAAGGTGCCTAGTCTACCTTTCTGCCCAGAGCAAGTCCAACGCCACATCAGGCTTTTCACGGCCTTGTCCGTTGCAAGAGTGAGGATCCTCATGGAGCCTGCCTAGTTTTGTTGCAAGGTTGCCCCATTTTCATTTCCAAACAACCCTCACTTCAGTTACAGGATGACAGAGGAACACTAAAGAACCCATGAAAGACTGGTTCAAACTGTCTAAGCTTTCTGGAGAGCTCATAAAGATCAGCTATGACCACAAAGAGAGGCTATGATGCACTGACTAGACCTAGAGCCCAGTACAAGGTACCATCTACGGGGATCCCAGTTTGAGACATTAACTCTACAGTCTCTCATCTGTCCCACTGGAGAAACTCGGGTCCATCCCCGGACTCGACATCAAGCCGTGGGCTGACTCTTCACTACGGCTCTGCATTCTGCCCCCATGCCCCTACTTCTTTCTCACAGGACCTCCTCCACCGTGGAAGGTCCAGCCTGTTTGGCTTCCTACTGCCCTTAAGTTGCAGGAATATTGCAGCCCGCTTTATGCCTGGTTCCATCCCAACCCCTCTTGCTAATGTTATGTAGAAGGCATGAAGTCTAACTAAGCCTGAGGCAAATCTGCTTCGCCCCCCAAAAGCCTTTCCTGGCCCTGGTTTGACCTCATGGGTGACTCCACTTTGAGCAGGAGATAGGGCTAGACCTCTCCTGAGGTCCAATTTAACCTGAGTTATCCTGTGAGTATAGCCAGCAGGTTAAGGGAAGTGCTTATTCCCCTAAACTTGACACCAGCGAGGCTACATTTGGGCACTGTGTCCAGTTTTGGTCCCACCCAGCATAAGGAAACAGTCCTGCAGAGGGTCACCGAGATAGTTGGGGCTAAAAAACATGATATACAAGTTGTTGCTCTTATTGAGCCTGGCGGAGAGGGCTGAGGAGAGATGTCATTGCCATTTCCAACCACACAGAGCAAAGCTGTGGAGAAGCTATTTCTCCGAGGAGCCCAGTGAAAGGCAAAACCAACAGCACAAGTTGCAGAAATAAGATTCCAGCTGGACACAAGGAAAAAAAGTTCTCTTGCTCTCCCCACTGCCATGGGAAGCTTTTTTGTTTGTTTGTTTTTGTTTTCTTCTGCTCCTCCCTCAGGAGAGGACTGTTTCTGCTGACCGGGGAGAACGGTGCCCACCTGACCGCAAGGACCAGAGGTGGTTGCTGCTGTCTGTAGCCATGAGCTTTGCCTGCACCAGGTCCAACGAAGCCCATCGGCTGGGTTTTCACCCCGAGTCAGAAGTAGGTGCTAGGCTCAGCTCAAGCTGATCTGAGCCTTCTTGCCTGCCGGTAAATGCCAGGACGGTGCACGTTTTAGCTTTTCCTCTGCAGCTCAGGGTCTCTTCCAGCATTGTGCCACCGCCAGCTTGCAGCACACCGGGCAAGACGCCGTGGGCAAAACCCTGCTGCTGCTTGGATACCGACTGGAAGAGCTACCGGGATCTGCTGCCCTTGGTGCAGGGTCAGCACGGGTACTTCAGCCACCAGTCCCACTGCCACCAGTCCCACTGCCACCCGCTATGCAAGAGCCTATGTGCACTCCGGGCTCTGCAGAGAGATGCACACTTTGTCACATTAGGAGGATTAGGAAAGCTGTTTAATTTGAGAATGTGTGCCCAAAGCCCAGCTTCAGAGCGATTGTGTTAGCTCCAGGGCTGCTAAGGGGCCTTCTAAGCCTTTTGCATGGATCAAGGGCGTCTAAGAGCCTCTCTGAAAGAGCATTCCTGCATTTCCAGCCCTTTCTGTGGACTCTGGCACTCACCCATCCTCTTCATGGATGCAACAAAGGCAGGAAAACCCTCTGACCAGAGCTGGTCCATCCCTGGACCTGGAGGACAACCTCCATGGGAGGCTGGCAGGGCTGGAGGGAGGCAGCTGGCGAGCTGGAGCTGCCACTGGGCCAGCACAGCTGTAAGGTGACACCAAGCACTGGAGGAGCTCAAAGGGCTGCCGTTTAGGGAGTGATGAAGGCTGAGGCATCCAGGAATGAAACGTCACCGTTCCCGACAGCTCAAAACTGCAGCTGCAGTTTGGGAGCGTGCTGGTCACACCCGATGGTTCCTGCGACAGCTTGAGGGCCACGATCGCCAGCTGGGATTGTGATGCCCAGGCTAAAAACTGAGCGCCTGGAAACCTCTGAGCGCCAGACAGCCACAGATGGCACACAAGGTCCCCATGTTCCTGAGGAACGTCATCACCTTCTCTCCAAGAAAGCTCCAAGATAGACTCCTTCCCAGGAGCAGGTGATGGGGATGACTATGGTCTTCAATGCACAGTTCAACAAGCTGCTGGGCCCCCTCCACACCATCGATAGCATCCGCTGGACCTAGATGCCCACTGCACCATAGACTAGGAGGATCGACAGGGGACTACAAGCTCCAAGCCCTCTGCTCTGCTGAAGTTTGACGCTCAAGTTTTGAGGGTCAGCAGTGAATCTGGCCCCGCCACCTGCTTTTAGCGTCCCAGGAAAAGGAGGTCAAGGAAACCCAGTGGACATGAGTAACATCGACCTTAAGCTTGGCTTGATCAATAGGGAGAAATGCATTGGCAAGAGCACAGCAGAAAGCACGCAGAAAAGAAAAACAAAGGTGAAAAGGCAAGATATGCATTAACAGCTACAGCATGCATAACGTAGCCTCATTCTGAGGAAGTGGATGAACAAACTGACCTAAAGATAATGTGACAGGGAGATGAAGAACAGGATTGCAGCCCCTGAACACCCAGAGAAGAGAGTATACATCAGAGATTTTCCCCACTGTATCACACTAATTTTTGCTCTATGGGTTTCCTAGGGCAGAAGCACAGGGCAGCAGCCAGGTGGGAGGAGAGTACGTGAACGGATTTAGGGCTTCGGGAAGCAGGAGGCTGGCAACCAGAGCGACTACACACTGCTTTATTAGGCAGCGGTGCTGCACGCATGGCCAAGTAGACGGTCACTATTTACATTTGGCAAAGGAAGGTGGCAAGTACCGAGCACCCATGCAGACTGGGGCCCCACAAGGCTGCCCAGTCCCCTCGGCTTCTTGCTAGCCCCAGGCAGGCCCTGCTTAGCTGCCCTTGCCCTCTGCCAGAGATGGCTCTGGGCTTCCTTGTCTGCAGGCTGGGTCTTTCAGCTCCCTCGTGCAGCGCATGGGTAGAGGCTCTCCCCTCAACTCGTCTTGCCCCAGGCCTCTCCCATGGCCTTAGCTTCAGTTCTTGCTTCCTGAGCTCTGCCCGGAGGAGAGCTGGTGAGCGTGGCATCAGGCCCAGCTCAGCTCCTCGCACGGGGGCATCTCCCATATGCAGCCTGGAAGAAAAACAGGAGCCCGGGAACCCCACGAGAGCGCAAGGGATCTGGCTGCAACACTCCCAGAGAGCGCTGGCCGTGCCCAAGGAGCCGCTCACAGGCTGCTGCTCCAGAGCTCATCCTTGGCATCACAGCGCTCAGCCCCGAGGATGGGCCAGCTTTGGGTACACCCGGCCTCGAGCCAGGCTCGTGAGGGGGTAAGGACTATAGGGTACGGATAGCCACCGGGTACAGCAAGGACATGTGCTCGGCCCCCTTGATGGGCAGCTTGCGGCTGGCGTAGTGGTGGATGATCTCCGGCACGCTGTCAAACGGCGGGCTGTGCTGACCCAACACGTACTTGTTCTCTTGGGTCCGGGACAGCTTCATGTGCATGAAGCCCTGGCTGCTCCTGCAAGGGAAGAACGAGGCAGGGTTAGAGGAAGCAGCTTTTCCCAGTGCCTGACCCTGCTTCTGGCCCCGTGGAGCTTGGTAACACCTACACCTCTCCACAATGTTCTTGGCTGCCTGCCTCAGCCACAGCTGGGCCCACGCTGCCCCACATCCTCTACTTCCCAAGGTTCCAGGCCTGTATTCCTCCCGAATGGTGCATCTCTCCATGAATGCTCTCCCCATAACAAGGGGGGATGAAGCACACAGGACGCAGAGGGCTATGCTCACGGGGGACCATACCAGGACCATGGCAGCCTCTCAAGGTGCATCAAGCCCATGTGCTCGTGCCTTCCCAGCCTTGCCACGAGGCAGCTGAAGGCAAGATTCCTCCCGCAGCCCCAGAGCAGCCTGGTGTCCCCTCCCCACACACACACACCCTGCAGGCTCCATAAAAAACCCGCTAAGCGCAGCAAGGCCGTTTTCCGGCGCAGCGCGGGCGCCGAGCCATCTGAGGCTGTGCAGGCAGATAATGCCACGAGCTCTGATTCCAAGTGACGGGCTAATGGCCCTGTTGCTATTAATTTGCGTCTCTGAGGAGAGCCACAGCCTGTCTGCAGCGTCTGGAATGCACATTACGGCAAAATATTGATGACTTAAAAGCAGACAGGACCTCATCAGCAATGCTGAGCTGTTTCCAGCTCCATACAGTCCAGTCCCATCCCCCCCAGCTGGATCTCTGGAGGAGACGGTGCCCGTAACGGACAGATTGGCTGCATTAGCAGAACAGGCTTGCAATCCATTTAGGAGCTGCTCAAGCTGAGCGGCAGGGAAGTGACTGCCCCGAGGGGAGGCCAGGAGAAGGCAGGCGGGGGAGAGGCGCCGATCCCCAGGAGAAGCCAGGCCAGGGACTGCCACAAAGGCCATGGCACGCAGTCCAAGGAGGGCTATGGAGCCTGCCGATGGGAGTCCTACCACATGCCGTGTCCCTCTGGATGAGAGGAAGAGCTGAAGCGGCCGAGATGCAAGGGGCTGCACACATGGGCATCCCGTGTGTGTGCACATGCGTGTACACCAGGTCTCCGAACACAGGTGGGTGCCCATCGGCGCTGTGCCCTGTTGACAGACAGACCTGCTCCTTTTCTACCACGGGCAGTGGAGAAATGCACAGGCTTAGTGCCAGTTCCACAGCAGGAACGTCGTGATACAGGTCCACAGAGAAGCGATACAGGCTGTTTTGCCCCAAAGCACTCCCTGGGGTTGGGTGTTGGGGAGCAAGGTCATGGTTGGAGGACATCTTCCCCAGCCCCCAAGCTGCGGTCAGCATCAAGAGGAGCTCGGCGACGACAGCGAGCACTGCCCAAGGACCCGACTGACACCAGACCCCTCAGAAACCCTACTGCAAACTGAGCAGCCCTGCTGCAATCAGCTGCCAGGAGGACAATAACAATGACACGAGGAGGATGCTCCTCCGTAGCCCGCAGCCTCTACCCCAAGCAAGGAAGACAGTTCTCCATGGCGTGGCCTCAGCCACTGCTATGGAGGCACGAACCACGTGGGACTCGTTTTGAGAGCACTTGAGATGACAGGACAGTTCTGCCTAGGACCGGCCACAAAGCAGGGGCCAGCTAGCCTGCATCAGACAGGACTGTCTTGGCAGGGTTAAATCCTTCAGGCTAGCTGACATGCTGCGGATACAGCTACTCCTGCTGCTCTCTTTTGTGTGTGTTTTTCTTTAGAGTGGCACAAAAGGTCTTTAGGTCAGTACCAGAGCTCTCCTTTCAGGCCATCTCCTTGGCTGCTCCTCCTTCCTCAGAAAGGAGACAGGAGAGAAAGGAAAAAAGAAAAAGAGATGCAGATAACCAACTTGCAACTATAGGAAAAGGGTCCTAGGGGGATTTGCCTTGAAAAGGCCCTACGGAGAAAAGCAGCAGAGTGAAAATTGTACTTTAGAGGCTGTGTGCTCTCTGCAAACACAGCCAACAGACAGACAATGTCCAAGCAGCTGTCTGGAGCTCCCTGTGCCTCCAGAATTATATCCTTCATGAACACAGCCAGAAGCTACAGCTCAGCATCATGTGCCATGTGAGAAAGGACAATTCTTGGCAAAGAGGACTTGGCCAGTTTTGGCCCAAGACTAAGCACTGGCAAAAGAACTAAGAGGAAAAACAAAGAAACAGATGTCTGGCATATAGGGAAGAGATGGGAGGTGGAAACACCCAACTTCCAGGAGATGGACCAAGAGGACCCAAGGCCAGCACAGAGTGACCCAACTGGAGTCCTAGCAACACTAAGAGAGACTTCATCTTGCAAAGACAGGTGATGAGCACGACAACACGTAGACAACTGTATGGGGCAGAGCCCTGTAAGCACAAAAGCAAGAGCATACCATGATGCCCCAGAACACAGCGGGGAACTACCTCTGCTGCTCTGCAAGATATTCAGGGTGGTCTCCACCAGCACTGGTGGATACAGGGACACAGATACAAAGGTGACTTTGGAGTCCTTAGGAGAGAGGTGACCGAAACAAGAGAGGTCCAGCAACAGCAGTGTTTTCATGCTGGCCCAAGGCCAACAAACCCACTGTCACCTCTCACACTCTCAAATGCACACAGTGCCAAACACCACCTGCAAGGAGATAGCTGAGAGGGCTTCTTGCAGCCTCAAACACGACCAGAGATTTGTCGCTTCTGTGATGCTCATCTCCAAAACGCTTCTTTCGAAACAGTTGCTGAAAGTCTGCCTCTGGCAGGAGACAAATAATCGTTCGTATTTGTACAAATTAGACAAGTTAATCTTCTCGCTTAAGGCCTACTGGCCCCTATCTGAAACTGCCTGAATTTGAACCTTGCCCCAAAAGGACAAGAGGAATCACTGGGGCACTGTGAGCTCTGCAAAACAGTTATAATTAGAAAAGGCCAAGAGGAAAATATAACAGGCTAGGAGAAGTCGCTGCTTCAAAAGAGAAAAAAAAATTCAAAAGAGAAAATTGAAGTGTCAGGAAAAAATCTGATCAAAAAGGGAAATCAAAACAGGGGTTTTCTTTTTTGAAAGGTTTGTTGAGAGATCTAAAAGCTACAAGGACACAAGGAAGAGAGAGTCTGCCCTTGTTTGCTATTGAAAGCAGCAAAAAAAGTGTAAAATAAAGACAGAAAAAGTAATCTGATTCCCAACTGTGACATTGGGAAATATGTGGGGAAAGCTCAAATCACTAGGAAGAAATTCAGGTAGGAAAATATAAAGTACATTAAGAGAATCTTGGGGATATGTGGCCTGTTGTTGGAGAGGGATGACTAAAGTGCTCCATAAATACTTTTTTTCATGTTTGCCAGGAACAGAGTCAACATACTTGTGCTGCAGGAGGGCAATGAAGTGTTTGCTAATCCATCTTCAAGCCAGGAACAGCTCTGATTTCATAGGGCACCATCCCAGGAGTCTACTCCTGCCCCTACCCCCCCTCTCCCCCCCCCAAAAAAAAGGCTGGCTGGATGAGGAGCTCCGGGAAGCAGGACTCTCCCTGGCAGGATTCGAGCTACGATGCCTCATGCGGCTTCAGGACTCACATTTTCTAGGAATCCAGAAAACTTGGAGACAGTACAAAAAAAAAAAAATCTACCAAAACAAACAGAAACCAAACTCTGCTGAGAAGGTGAGATTTCCTTCCTGAGAAATCGAAGTGGTTCAGTTTTCTTTGAGCCCCACATTGAGGGCTCTCCTTTGGGAACTGAACAGTCTCTCAATATCTCTTTCTTTCTGTCTCCGCTTTTTGTATCTTTTTTTTACCGGCTGTGTTGGATGAGGGTACTTTTTAAATTGCTACCTTCTCTACAGCATGGCAGAGCAACAAGCCACAACACTTAACTGGGCTGGGAGGCACGCAGGGAGAACCTCAATTCCACGAATAATGTGATCACACAAACTCTTTTTCTTCCTCCACAAAACTAGGCTAGAAAGGGATAAGAGAAGCCAGAGCTCGAGCTGTAATCAGACACTTTCAGATGAGTAATAAGGCACATCGTTTTATCCGCCTGGATTATAAACATTGCCAAGGGAAAAAGCAGCATGCCTTCAGATTTGCAAGGCTTTCGGCAAGATACTTTTGCCAAACAGCAATGCAAATGTCAAGAGCCTGTGCTAGGCAGCAAATAATCACAAACTTTGTATTAGGAGCATCTTGCAGTTCTCTAAGTTACCCTGTTTCCCTTGGCTAACCCTCCAGTCCAAGACCCACGGCACGAGAACATGTGCACAGGCACACCTCCTAACAGCCCACAAACACAGGCACCCAGGGGTATGATATCCAGGGGTATTTCCACGTTCAAGCCCACCACGTGCAACGCCAGGGCTCTGGGTGCTCTTGAACGCAAGTCACCAGCGCTCAGCGCCACGTGGCAGCATCGCTGCTGCAGCGGCCAGAGGATGGCACGGCCCTGGCAGTGCCACCCACTCCTGGTCTCACCGCCCTGAGTAAAGCCACTCACTTCAAGGAAAGGGAGAAGTCATTCTTGCTGGTCTCGCTGTTGCGCACCAGGTAACTGGCCTCCTTACAGAGCCTCAGCAGCGTCTCCGCATCCGTCCGGCTGATGGCCCCGTGGTACCAGCTGTAGGCAGGAGAGACAGGAGAAAGGGGGTTGCTGGGGTATGACCGGTGCGGATGGCCCACGCGGGACAAGAACAGCCCTAACTGGTTATGTTATACCCATGCTGTCAGGGACTGGCAGTGCCAGCTCACTCAGCATCCCCCTTGGGACGGGAGCGATGTTCAGGCTCAGCGACCTGAGTAAAAGAGGTTGGTGATGGAGGACAAGGAGCAGGCCGAGTAAAAGGGATGCAGCGGGCACCACGGGACACTAGGACTCCAAGAAGCATGGAAGGGACAAACAGCAGCTGACAGATGCGTGGTAGGAGGGAAGAAAGGACCAAGTTCAAGACCAAGTTCATCCTGGGCTTCTTTGCTATGGGAATCTTAGTGCACGCAGAGGGGCGAGGGAGCTACTCTGTGGCAGGACTCACCACTGGCTCTCCAGGGGCAGGGCTGGGTCAATCCTCTCCCCGAGGAAGGGCGCTGGCTCCAAGCTGAGCGTCTTCGTGCTCTTGAGGTTGCTGGTCCCATGTCTGAGGGCAGCTCTGGCCTTCTCTTCCCTGCAGGGCGAAGTCCGGCTGTACCCCAGGCCCTCTGCCTGCCCTGCAAGACAGAGGCACGTCAGAGGGTGCAGAGCAGCTTCCAAAGCAAGAACCAGCACTGAATGCACTGCAGCAGGCTGGACTGAGAACAGACCCACCAGCTTTGGAGAACATTTTCCACCTGGAAAACCCTACGGGAATGCTCCTGGCCACAGAAGCACACAGAGACATTTTCCATCACTCTTACTTCCCCATTCTCCTGGTCTAGCCACAAACAGGTCAGGTCAGCTTTTGGACTCTTGCTCTCTAAAGAGTCCCAGGATGCAGCAGGTCAGGTCCGTGCCAAGCTGGGAATTGATGCAAACTAATCTTTGCAATGCCTTATCTCCTGGAAATATTTTCCAGGAAGCCCTCTCCTTTTGGGCCTGCCATTTCCATTGCACGACACCCCCAAAGCGCCCAAGCTTTAGCTCTGCAAGGGTAGTCCAACGGGTAGGACGTTCCACAAGCGAGATGCGTGGGGTGCCGGGGGGCACTGCTGCTGGGTCCTGCACCTCCATGCAATGACCCCAGCCTTTCTCCCACGGGTGCCTGGTTTCCCTGAGATCCCTGTGGCCTCACGAGCCGGTCGCCGGCCGCCTTGCCCACGGCTCCGGCGCGGGAGGATGACGAGGGCCGCGTGAGCAGCAGGGTGTTAGCGGAGCCGTGCCCTGGGGACCGGCTGCCCACTGAGTGTTATTTCCTCGCAGGATGATTCCCGCATTAATAATATTGTTTCGCTCTCCTCCAGAGAGTTCATTATTGCTCCCCTGCAACACAAGCCCCTCTCGCAAATTACTTATTGATCGGGCGGCCGCGAGCGGAGCCGAGGCACCGCTGCCGCCGGCACATACAGGACCAGGTGCCCCAAAGGCGGCCGAGCCCCGGGGCCTCCTCTGGTCTCCTCTTGCCCCCAGGACAAGCCGCCAGCAGCTGCCATGCCCTGCAAACACCCTCGCAGCCAGTGCAGCTCGGTGGGAGCCGCTGGGCTGAGCCACTTCCAACCCAGCACCCTCCCTCGTCCCCTCATTTCGGATGATTTCGCCAGGGTGCTGCCCTCAGCGCCTGCTCTCTCAGATGGACCAGGAGCCCAAGGCCTCAGGCTAAACCAGGCTCTGGCCTTCCATCCACAAAAACCTAAATAGCAGCCAGGAAAGCAGGAGGAGAAGGATATCTCCGCCTAGGTATCCTCCAAGGAGGCTGTTTGAGGGAAATATGATCCACGCTCCAAGCGAGTGAGGATGGTGAGAAAGGCAAGGTCCCACTGGCACTTCCACCCAGGAGCACTGGGTAGACTGGTACTGGGTCCCACTGGCACTTCTAGCAGGCACCTCAGCCTGCCCTTAGGCTGACAAGAGAGGAAGGGAGCCAGAAGAAAAGCCATTCGAAAGTCCTTCGCAGCACTGCATGGCTGAAAACCAGCAAGGAGCAACTCAAGGACGAAACAGTCTAGACCAGCAATGCTGCTACAACCGTCTTGCTTTTCAGCTGCCCCATTCAGTCTTGCACTCGACGAGAAACTCTAGTTTCAACTCATCACCTAAAAAATTGGGACAATCATTTAACCAAAAAAAAAAAAAAAGAAGAAAAGAAAAAAAACCACTAGACAATCAAAAAGCAAAACTCTGCTGGCCCCAGAGATGGCTTGAAGTCTTCACACAGAATAAATGCAGAGCATCTGTCAGAGGGAGACAGATGAAGAGCATATGATGAAACGGTATATTAAAAGAACGAGGAGACATCCTTCAAGGAGCTCAAGTTGCAACCAGACAGGGAAAGTATAAAGCAAACACAAAACTCTGGCAAAATAAACTTAACAGAACAAAGCAAGTGAAATAAAAGAGTAAAAAAAGAAAGAGAGGGAGGCTTTGTGTTGCTAAAACCATGAAAAATGACAAAATGATGCATTCTTTGGGAGCAAGAAGCTCGTCAGCGTGACTGCAGGAATAAGCAATGATGAGGGAAGAGAGGAGCCTGCATAGCAAGGAAATTTTCTTGACAGAAGTTTCTGCCTGCAAGACTTCTCTTTTTTTGGACACATTGAAGATTCCTCTCAGATCGAAGCATCCCTAAAAGAGGATTTGGGACAATACCGAGGCATCCTTTACAGCGGATTTGGGACAATACCACAGAGATCAGCCACCTTGCTCTGGACTTCCTCTGCGATTCACACTATCAGTGGCCACGTGCAATCCCTTGCTCAAAAACACCCAGGAAGCAGCAAAAGCCCTTACCAAGTTTTTTAAAGCAAAGCTCTGTAGGGATCTGGGTAATGACAGATAAGAAAAATCAGACTTCTGCACCTGGCAAACTGCAGCATCCCTCAGGAGGAGAATTAGTGACACCCAGACATGGTCCTGCCACACATCACACTGATCCAGCTGAGTTCTCAGGACGAGCATGTGAATGAGGTCGAGCCAACCAATACAGCATGGGTGGATTTTGACAAAAACCCTTACCTAAAGCTCTTTAAAAAAAAAAAATCTAATCTGCAATGGCATGAAAGCACAGCCCTTAAAAAATTAATAATCAGGTAAAAGGGAAGAAACAATCATTGCCTTTTATAAGGGAGATTAACCAGCGAAGTCCAAGGGGGATTTACACAGGGTCTCTTCCGCTCAACATGCACACAAAAAAACTTGAAAACACGGCAAATTTGAAATGACAAAGCATGCCTGCAAGATTTAGCCATTCAGGGTAGCAAAAGCGAGCGCCAGCCACCAAGGGTTTGGAAAGGTCTCCTGCAATCGAGCAGTTCAGCTATAAAATAGTAGATGAAATTTAACAGTGCTAAATGAAGTGATGCACATGGGGAAAGAAACAAAACCACAGCCCTAGCTTCAGCGGTGAGATCTGATTTAGCTGTTACGACCCTTGTGAGAGACTTGGGTCTTCAGAGTGCCAAGAAACATCAGGTAAATGCTCAGTAGTTGGAAGACATAAAATAAAATCACCTATCAAATGCTAGGAATTTAGGGGCAAAGAAGGGGACAAAGCAGGAGACAATAATTCTGTCACTGAATAAATCCCTAGGGTGTCTTTATTACTGCACACCAACAGATATCATATAACTGGAGGAGACAGAAGAGAGGAGGGCAAATCTCTCTTGTCCTGTGAAGGACAAGTGAGGAGGCCAGGAGGAGCTGGGGGAAGGAGAAGGAGGCCAGACATCTGCAGAGCTCTGCGTGGCACCGACATGGCAAAGGGGGTACTGTATGGCAAGAGGAGCGGGGATCAAAGGAAGTTATCAAGGGAGCAGTTCAAACATCAATGGGAAATACCAGGGATCTCCACTCTAGGATGTTGCGTACGTCAAGCGCTTAGAAGGCTTCAAAAGGTACTTGGAAAAACTTGTGGAAGGACAATCTGATATGGGCTTTGAAACACAAAGCGCAGCCTGGTCCAGGCTCAGGTACTGAGCTGCAGCCTGCTGGACCCGAGGAGAATTTGTGTGGGGAGTGTGAGTATAGGCTTGTCCTGGTCTTGCACTCCTTCCCAGTACCTGATGGAAGATGCTGTCAGAGACGGACTGATGAGTTTGGCAGAACCTGCGAGAGTCACAAGGCTGTCCTTGTACCTCTTCCATGTAGAGGAAGAGGCAAGAAACTGAAGTAAATAGTAAAGCTGTAGATGAACTCTAAGCACCTGAGCACCAAGACCTGACCAGAGGACGTGGCAGGGCCGGCAACCTCCGAGACGCTGTGGCAGCTCAGGCCCAGGTTGGCAGCAGGGCCAGCAAGGCAGGGTCCCATGGGACATTGGCTCCAGCCTCCCCAAACACCGCGCTGGTCGCGCAAGACCCACCGTTGGCGTCTTCATAGCTCAGCTGGCCTTGCTGCGGAGGGACGGAGGCACCGGCCTCGCCGTCCAGGGGGCTTTCACCGCTGTCGAGCTGTCCCACCGGTGGTGGCCATGGCAGGTCTTTAATGACCTTGATCTCAACTGGATATTGGGGGGGGGAAGGAAGGGAGGGTGGGAAAGAGAGAGAAAAAGAAAGAGAAGGAGAAAGAGAGAGAAAGGACTTAGAAATAAATGTCAGCAACACAAGGCCTAAAGAGAAGAACAGCAGTTGTGGCAGGGGAAGAACTAAGGATTAAACACCCAGGAGCCTGAGCCCATGCACCTTAAAGCCAGTTGAAGGGTACAGCAAGGCACGCAGCCAAAGGGACCTGCATCATCACAGTGGGCCCTCGCAAGCAGAGCTGGGCCCAGGGAAGGCCCGGAGCAAACTGAGCTGATGGGCTCTTGATCTCCTTAGGTCCTGGGAAATCATCAAGTAGGAAACACCTAGAGCTGATGGTGTTCATGCAGCTCTGCCATTTAATGCCTTCCTCAGCGCCAAGCATGAATAGGTCTGATGCAAGTTCCCCAGGTTGAGACGCTGGACCCTGCTCCTCCGTCTTCCCATCTTTTCCAAGTGGCCTCAGTGAAACCTCCGGGGCTGGAAGCAAGCATGCATCTCCCCAACTCTATGTGCAAGTCCATCCAGTAGACCCAGGCTCAAAGTCCCATCACCACCTGTCCTGTCCGTGCATTTAAATCCCCTTAGCCATCTCGCCCCAGGCACTTCCCAGTCACTCAGCTCAGTCCAAGCTCCCCTGCCATGTGCCAGCAGGTTCGGGATGTGCTTAGCTGGCTGGGTCCTGCCCTGCAGCCAGAGGATGAGACGGGGGCATTGAGCACATCAGGCCCTGACGCGCTTGGCAAAGCTCCTGAGACCACACACAGACAATCCACCATCTGTGACGAGAAGGATGAGGAAAGGGGGACAGACGCTGCTCGGGATGCTCATTCCACAGGCCCGTCAGCACAAGATCTCACAGGCCTAGCAAGGGGGCAGAGAGCCAGCAGAGAAGTTCCAACATTGCAAGAGAGGACAAAGGCCCTGTGAGCAACAGCAGGACCTGCTCCAGCTCCAGGAGAAAATAGCCAGCAGGTCCTAATGTGCCCTAGAGCACAGCATGCTGCTTCAAGTTACACACAAATTCCCCACGGGACTCGGCGTGAAACTAAAGGGCCCACTTCATCTCCCTCACCTACGGACACCAAGCAAGACAACTAATCGCCCCCAATCCGTTGCACAGACACATCTCAGCACAAACCCGGTGTCCTGCATTTCCAGACCATGGAGCCCAGCGAGGGGAATCCTCAGCACACCAAGCTGCAGACACCCAGCTTTGCACCCATCCTTGCCAGGACCCAGGAGTCCCAGGTGCCCACACAGCCTCATCCACACACAAGAGCCCAACACATACCTCTCCAGCTTGCAGAGCCTCAGCACGAAATCTGAGTCTGTGCCCCAGTTAGAAGCCCCAACGCTGATGCTGCTCCACCTGCATACCTGCTCAGCACCAGCCCCTGACAGCACAGGTGCCACGTGCATGCTGGCAGCAGCGCAGACATACTGCTGCAATTAAGCTGCACCCGAGATCAAAGCGTGGCAATTAGCCAGCGCTGGCACCAGAGCCAGCAACTAATGCACGGCATGGATTTCCTCATTAACAAACACAAACGCAATCGATTTCCGCGGCACGAATAAATAGGTCAGAGGGGTGGATGCTCTCCGGCCAACGGCTCCCAAGGGAGCGACCAGCTCCTGCCTGGGCAAAAGCAGACATGCAAAAGGAGGAATAAACCCAAAGTTCAGTCTAGCCTCTCCTCAATAATCTGCAACGGTGGGGGACAACTCGCACTGGCAACTAGAGCGGAGCTGGAGACGACAGGTAGTGAAGAAGCTGCTAAGGCACCAGTCCCGTCAGGCCCTCTAGTGCTCCCAGCTGGCTCCCACCAGCCCCGCTGAAGACAAACAGCTTCTGCAAGTGGAAGGGCCTTCCCACAAGGCAGAGACTGCTGCTACAGAGCCCGCAAAAACAAGGGGAACCCAAGAAAGCAGCTTCCCTCTTCCACAAACACTCACACATCCCTAGCAGGAAAGGAATCATGGTGCTCAAGACACCCTTCTATGCCCGCAGGCTGCCCCCATCCTGCTCACCTGCAAAAGCTTTAGAGATACGCTCCTTCTTCCACTCCCAGGGCTGGTCGTACTCCTCAGGCGGCCGCTCGTCATCCTCAGGCAGCCGGGACTCCCTGGGCCTTGGGCAAGTCGGGCGGTCGCTCTCCGTGTCCAGCCCTCCACACACGGGCTCATAAGGGGTGTCGTAGAGGTGCAGCGGCCGGGCCGGAGCCTCCCGCAAGCCCTTCTGGCGGATCTCTAGCAGAAAATGAAAGAGAAGACCATCAAGTCTATGCCTAACACAGTCTGGCCACGATCCCCAAGGCCAGGTGAAAGGGTTTCCTTCAGCCAAGGAAGGCATGGGGCCGGGCACATCAACGGAAGAGCAGATCCCAAACCTGCAGCAAGCACCTGCCAGAAGCAGCAGACCTAGTTGAGAGCAAAAAGCAGCAATGTTTCCCTCTGTGGGAGCCAGCCTGCTATCAGCTGGTACCAAATGATGGCTCCTCACGTGCCTCAGCCCGATCCAGTGTCAGGACGGGCAGTGTGAAGGAGTCTTTCCACTGCTCCGTGGAGAGGAGATGCTGAGACGCCAAGGGGACACCATGGCAGGGGAAAATGCCAGCATCATAGGAATGGAGAGTTATCTCCAAATGCCCAGATGTCACCATACCACAGGAAAAGACAGTCAGGACTCCTGGGTTCGCCCTACCGTTCTGTTCAGGCTGCAGAACAGAACTGGCTACAGCTGCTAAAGGCTCCAAGCTCATCAGAGGAACAGTACGAGGAAGCAGCACACCTTGGAGGACTTTATTAGAAGTCATGAGGGTGCTACGTCGTGGCACTGTGCTGGGCACAGCTCCCGGCAGGCCTTTTGGACAGACACCGACCCTGGATGCCCCACAGCCCTTCCCCGAGTGCCCAATATGGGCATGTCTCTTGGGAGCCAAATTCATCTGCTGGGCAGAAAAGCCCTGAGCCGGCTTTGCTGCCCTTCCCCAGCACCGAGATCCCTTCCCTCCCTGCGGCAAAGCATCCAGCAGGTCCACAAGGACAGAGCTCCCCAGCTACAGAGTCTGCAAGAGCGATGAAGACGGGTTTATTCCCTCAATATTTAGCATAGCTAGTCTGAAAAAAAAAATGGGAATTTGAATAAAATGCCCTTCTCTCAAGTTAAACAGGAACACACGTCTCTTCACAGACACAAAAAGCCTCTTTGCCGCCCGCTGCATTTTTTTAGCCCCAAAAAAGCAACAGTTTCCTCCAGAAGCTGCTTCGGCTTTCCAAAACCATTTGCTACAGGAAAACCGCAGGGCTGCAGAGCGGAGCCAGAGCCTCCAGCGTGCAACCTGGCGTAGCAGCCCCGCGCGCTGCAGCGGCGAGCGCGGCGCCTTCAGGAGCTTGCGAGCCATGAACGAGCCCCGCTGGGCACCCCGCTGCGGCGGCAGCCAAGGAACAGCACGTTCAGGACCAGCTGTAGCTGAATTAAACGTCCGAGACGTATCAAATGTCAGCTCTGAAAGGCAGCGCTCTGGAGGCTCAGCCTTGCCCGGCCACCCCGCTGCCCCCAGGGCAAGTCAGGCAGCAGGAACCGTGATCCAGGAGGCAGCTCCACAGCACGGAGCCGCGCGAGGAGCGCCCGGCAGGAATACAGAGGTGCCTTCGCTCAATTGCCTTCCAAGAGCACTCTGGCTACGGTGAGCTCCGCACGTGTAGGTGGTCCCTAGAAAACTGGGCTGCACCCCACTAGTCACGCTGCAGGGTTGCTGGCCAGCTCTCAGGAGCTTTATCTTGGGGGCCTGGCACAAGCCTATGTTATGGGTTAGGAGGAAGATTGCCCACCAAATTCATGGAGCAGCAGCAAGCAGAGACACTAGGAGTGCACTGGCCTTTGCAGAAAGCTTTAAATCTTACCGGCCATCATCTTCTGGGCTTCATACGGTTCCATATATCCATCATTCTCCATCACCTTCTCGAGTCCTGACTGGCTACCAGCCACTTGTGTAGCATCAAAGGGATCTGCATAGTCCTCCAGCACAGCCAGCTGGAAGAAGAGCAGGATAGGAGAAGGGTTAGTGTACTCTCTGCCTCCCCCAGGGCATAAGGGGCCACATGACGATCCCAGGAAACATCACCATGAGCAAAACGAGTGGCCCCAAGTGACAGCAGGGACTGTCGAAGCCAGCAAGGTGCAAACACTGCCGATGCTGCTGCTGTTACAGACCCCTCGTAGCAATGCACATCCTTCCCCGAGTGCTCCTGCAGCCCAGGAGCACAAGCACCAGAGCCTGCACCAGGACACAAGCCCAGGAGCGAGCCCGGAGGGCAACGGCAGCAGCAACAAAGCGAAGGGGCACCGAGGGCCTGGGAAAACAGCTCCAGGTTGCTGCTTCCTCCAGTCCCTTTCACATCCTTTGGCCTTTTCTGAAGCAAAGCGCCCAGCGGGCCTCGCCACGCTGCCCGGATCAGCGCGGCTCCGCAGAGCAGGTGCAGGGAGCCAGCCACGCTGCCAGGCACCAGCACGAGGCTGACAGCAGTGGAAACGCTCCAGCCTTTGTCCCAAAAGCTGGGCCTGAGCCAAGCGGAGCAGAAGGCAGCCCAGCCTCCCCCGTTAGCATCAGCAGCGCCGCCAGCGCCTGCACAGACACCCAGGCAAGGCTCCCCTGCCGTTGCACGTGCCCGTGCGCTCCGGCAGCCTCGCCAGAGGCATCTCCGTTGGGTTCCCTGCATCCAAGGTGGAGAAGCAGCACGTGGAGCAGGCCACCGAACCCACCCAGCATGGCCCTGCACAGCTACAGGCTCCCAGCTGGCCCAACTGGTTGTTTTCCAGAGCTCCTACCGGCTTGTCAGTGCAGCCAGAAGAAGTTTCCTAAGAAAATGGCACCAAGCAGCCCAGCAGCTCCTCTCTGCTCCCTCCCAAGCCCCTGTAGGACCCCACAAGCATCCCAAGCAGCAAGATGGGAAATTAATCCATGTGACCAAGAATCCCAAGGCCACAGGCCTGCGAACACCACAAGGACGGAAGAAACAATCCCAAAGTTCACCCTGCAAGAGAGCCGGTGCCACAAAAGGGCACGAGGAAGACAAAACATCACGGAGGTCGGTCCTGCCTGGCCTTTGGGGCTACCCTCTTGCTCCTCAGCAGCTTCCATCAGGCAGCAGCGGCAACTCGCAGCGAGCCCGCAGCCACACAGCCCGTGTCTCCGCACGAAACGAAGCTGAAGCATGGCTCAAGAGCACCCAAACACCTTGCTGATGCGAGCTAGAGACCCACAACGCTGAAGTCCCGGGCTGTATGGCTCCGTGGGGTTGTAACTGCGACGCCGGCTGTGTCTACCTCCTGCAGGCAGGGCCGGCACGCGGCCGGCTGCAGCTGCCCGTCCCCACCACGCCGTCATCGAGCCCCACGTCACTCACAGATGAACCTCGTTCTCCCCTACAACACTTAAAACAACCCCTCTTCCTCCTCCTGCTGCGAGGACAGCCCGACAATAGCCCCAAGCAACTAAACGTGGCAGGAAAAGCGAACTGGAGCTGTGAACACCTCGCCAGGGTCCCGAGCCCCCAGGGGAATATGACTCCCCAGCGGACGGCTCCTGGCCACCAGCATTGGCGAAATTCGGAGCAAGAAAACGCCAGCAACAAGGAGACACGGCTACTAGGAGCAGAGGCCTTCTCCAGATGAGAGGGCAAGAGCAAAACCTCCTGCGGGCCGTGCAGCAGGGCTTGGTGCCAGCGAGCGGGGACGGGGCTCCAGGAAAGCTGCTCTTACTGCTCTCCCCTCCGCGGGAGACGTGGCCAGCGCTGCCCGGTGCGTCCCCGGCGGGGAACCCAGCGCCCTGAGGGCGACGCTGAACCCAGGGCACGGCAGCGCTCTGCTCCTCGCCGCTGGAGCGCGAGAGGAGGCAGTCCGGTGCTCCCCTTCGGGAACGCTCCTTGCAAAGCGCTCCAAAGTTTGCTGGAAGGCGGTGCAGCGCAGCAGGATGAGCCTCCCGGGCTCAGGAAGGGGTCCTACCTGGACCGAATCTGCCCATGTTAAAACCCACCACAAAGCCCATTTCCGAGCTGCATTTTGCGATGTACGCTCACGCCTGGCTGGCTGCTGGTGCCTCCACCCTCCTTCTCCCACCCCATAAACACTGAGCAACTCCGGACAAGACAGGGCACCAGCACAACAGCTTCATAGCCATGAGACTACACACGTGGCATTGGCTTTTTCTAAACGGTGGAAAGTCCTCCCGCCCAAGCTTCTGCAGTCCTGCAAAAGCTGGGAATCACCTTATCTCCCCCAAGCAGCACGTTAAAACCCCAGCTAAGAGAAGGGAGCTGCCCGCTCTGCTCCTTGGCCCCAGCTCATTGACCTCCTTGCAAATGCCAGCAACAACACTGAAATTAACTTTTTCCCCCAGTACTTCTTAGGTCCAGTTTCAGACGGGAGGGCTACACAAGCCCCAGCGATCGTGACACCCTGACACCCCTTCAGGTGCTTCTGACAGCAGATCAAGGAAGCAGAATGAAGGGCAGAAATCCCAAGAGGTCTCTGTGGCGCGCCTGGTAAGTGACCTAAAACCAGCTGGTTTTGCTTCCAAAGGGCTGCAGGAGCAGCAACTAGATGGTCTCCGGTCGAGCAAGACACAGTGTGCTGGGAAGCCAGAGCTAACGTCTCCAATCAGGTCCTCAAGTATCCACGTCTCCTGCGTTCGGGGGGGCTGCACTCTGATGACTTTACTCCTCCACCAGCTCCGGGATGGAGAAGGAAGGGAGCGCGAGCTGTAGCCCGCGCGCTGCGGATGGAAGGCGGCATCGCCTCGCTGGCGCGGGCGACGCAGCAGGGCTCTGCGAGGACAAGCAGCAGGGACGGCGCAATTACCAACGGTGCCCGAATGCATCTGCACGCGGGGGCCCGAATTAAGGTTGCCCGGGCAACTGTGGATCTGACATTTCCCGATCGGAGCGCCAGGCTCGTCAAGCTCCGCGGGGCTCCGCGCTGCAGCCGCTTCGCCTGCGGTCGCTCGGGAGGGCACAGGCTGCAGCAGGGGCAGCTGCAGAGCCGGAGCTGTCACCACAGTGACCCCCAGCACTGTGACAGCTCCCAGGGCCATCGTGCTCCATCCTGGTCCAGGCAAAGGCCAAAGACTCAGATGCTCTGCTTGCCTACTGCATGACAGAAGAAGCCGCTCGCCGCCCAGGCGATCCCCTCGCGCTGTTCGGATGCTCCGGCTAGGTGACAGGATGGCATTTTCCATCATCTCCTCCAGCAACAGAAGCAGAAAAACTGCAGTTAATGGCTACATTCAGCCCTGATGTCAGCCCACACAAGACTTCAGCATCTTTTGTGGCAGAATTCAGAAGGAGCCGAGTCAGCTGCCCCTCTCTCCACACAGCTCCCCCAGAGCCAGGCTGCTCTGCTAAACTCACACTAGCTCCCTCTCAAACACACTGCAGGCTTTTTTGCTATATTCAAAATCATTCGGGTGAAAAGGCAGTGCCTGAAGCACAAAGCCAGGGTACCAGGGCAGCTCTCTTCACAGAACAGTCACCTCTCCGTGGCACCTGGACACCTTCAGTACATTCTTCTCAGGCACCTGAGTATTTTTCCTGCATTTATCTAGCACATCAACGCACAGTTAGGTCCCTAATGCAGTGCTAAGGCTTGTCTTCCTCTATTATTTATGTTCTCTGTAAGGAGAGAAAGGGAAAAAAAAGGCAAAATTAAAGGGAGAAGCGTTAAATACGCATTGCACAAAACCCAAGCCCCTTGACAAAGGCGGATGCTCAAAATTCGCCGCGCGTGGTCGGTGCTGCACACTCGCAAACTGGGCTCGCAGGCATCGCCCGGGCGGGATTTCAATGCTCCCCTCGGATGGCAAACGAGGGACGAGCAGGGGCACGAGGCTCCTACCGACGCTGACCCTCCCAAGCGAGCTCCCAGGGAGCAGAGACCCGCACAGGTTGTGTGCGCAGACACACGGCCACCGCAAACACCGCGCTCAACGCAAACCGGAGGCTGCACAAAGCTGCCGCCGCTGATGCACCACTAAAATGGTTTTTTGCACCGTACACCCGGGAATGACACAGATGGCAGCTACCCAAGAGAGAGTTCTCAGTTCGGACAGAGAAATCCTAGGTCAGAGTTAAGGCTGTTTGCACTGTCTTTACCTACAAACATCCAAGCAGCCTTTTTTTTTTTTTTCCCTCTCTCCTCCCCTCTAAGAAATAAGATACTCCGCATAACAGACAGGTCTGTTTCTATCCAAAGGACACCTGGAGAGATTCCTCACTTCATCAACAACCAACGTTGCTTGCCTTGGAGACAAAGCAGTTGTAAAGCAGCTCCCTAAATCACCAGTAAAACACTCCATTTCGCCTTCGAGCCCCTCCGAGCTAAGCCTGAACACAGTTTGTTCTCTCCTGGGGTGCAGCTTTTACCCTTCTTGCAAGCACACATACCCAAAGGTGGGCACGGTCATCTCGCCGCTTACTGCTTTTGGCAGAGGGCAAAGCAAGGCCTAAACACAAAGCAGGTGCTGCTCTTGCAAGCGGGAAGCAGATTCCCTGCCCAGAGGGTTCCTGAAGGGTAAGACCAGGCCAGGATAGGCGGCCAGCAGTGAGAGCGAAGGTGCACGCGCAGGATGCCTGCACCCCAGCACACCGGACGAGGGGAGCCTGGCGTGGACAGCACGGCATCTTGCAGGATGACTCAGTTCGGGGAGGCTCCTGCAGGAAGGACACACGCCCAGGAGCTTCCTGGCCGGCCGTTCCCACACCCCGCAGCACTGACCTTGTGTGCGCCGAGCAAAAACGTCGCGCCGGAGGAGCCCAGATCTCAGGCCTAGGCCTAACCACAGGGCCGCTGAGCAGCTGTGGGCACCAGGCAGGGTGTACAGAGCTGCGCATCCCTACGTGGCGATCCCTCGTCTCCACTGCCTCTGGCACGCAACAGCTCATTGAGGACAAGGGGGAAAAGGGACCCCACAGAGCTCAGGAATTGGCAGATGTCACCAAAGAGGACAAGATCCAAGCACCCTGCCAAGGTGGGT